CCCCCCCACCCCATTTTAATCACACGACTAATCGATGACAATGTTATGAAACCGATGACAATGTTGGCAAACCGATGACAATGTTATGAAAACGATGACAATGTTATGAAACCGATGACAATGCTATGAAACCGAAGATTACTTATCGTGAAGTGCAAACGAAGGTCAATATGCCCCATCCCACCCCACCCCACCCCCCCACCTTTCACGTAGCATCAACTTCAAACATCGCAGTAGTCACACGTTTGGTTTTACACCCGTAGGCATATACATGATTACAAAAGGGCACAACAGAATAACTGACATGACACGTGCATCACTTGTCAACACACCTGTTCCCTCAAGACTTCGCTGTGCTGACTGAATCAGAGATTGCAATTGTGTGTATTCAACCTCACAAAGGGCTGCCCAGAACACATCAACTGCAACGACTGCACGGACTAAACTCATTGTTGTCTACCCAAGCTTCCGGGTTAAACCCATGCTCGTAAATGTGATCCGCTCGTCATATCATATCCCTTCTATTCAATATAGTGAAGACAAACAAGCTCCCTGAAACTGCCTAAATATGCCTAAATGAGATTTGCGAGTTGTGTGCCCTTTCCAAACCAAATCCCCCGCACCTGGTTTTCGAGGTGACCATCAGTAGAGTCATGTAGTGTGTCTCCCTCACCTTTCCTCGTTCCATCACGGGGTCCCATGAAAAATAATGTGCTGAATTGGGGTGTCTGCTACTATACCAACACGATCTCCGATGGTACTGTCTCTAAAAACCCTCCGAATTCCAAATGATAGATTGGAGATGATTGGCGTGTTTACTGTTTACCTTCTTGTTTGCAAAGCACCTGCCAGTCAAGCCAAAAGGGTGGGTAGCAAGCGGAAGTGGCATGATTTGGAGATGGATATGGTTTGTCCGCTCCGCAGGTATACCAACAATTCGCATGTTCATACCATTACATTAACTATAACATTCATAACCGTGCCCTGAAACCGTTGATCTCTCTATCCGCATGGAATGCTCCGTCCAACAATAAACCGGCATGCACCAGCAAATGAATCATATCACACATAGATGGTCCCGCGGCTTCTCATTCCGCGTGCAGCGCCCGCTTGGCCGGCTCGGGTCCAAGTGGAATCTGTCCTGGAGTGGGATCCGGAGGCCAACATCGGAAAACCCAAAGTACTGCGGCAACACGGCAATGCACGGAGCCAAACGATACTGTAAGTTTCGAACATAGATGCTGGTTCGGACATGGTTCTGACTGGGAGTTCTCATGGTTCTCCACTTCTTGAGGCACATGACCGTCAAACGTTCGAAGTCCCTTGTCGCCGTCTCTGTCGGCATGGCGATTCACGGGCGCAGATGCGTGCGATCGCCCCATCTCGGCGGCCGTCCCGTCGTCCAGGCGACGTGTCGTCGTCGCATGGGAGTGGTTGAGTTAAAGCGGTTCCCAAACGGTTGAGCTATACCCAGACACGACGGGTCTGGGACTGCCATAGCCGCCCCAGACAGACCCCAGGTCAACCACCCCTGGCCGTTTCTCGGCATATATGGCAGTCCCACTAGTCGTGTCTGGAATATCTTTTGGGAATTCCTGATCCTGCTACCAGTAACAGTGGATGAGGATGGTGAACGGAAAGGCCTTTCTTTAAAATAGATTACTGTAAACTGGTAAAGCTAAGTCCAAGCTAAGTCGACTTGGCTAACTCAAAGCTAAGTCCGCTAAGTCTACTTATAAGTCCGCTAAGTCAGATTAGAGGTTAGCCTTGACTATTTACCTTCGACCGGGCAAGTAGTTACAGGACATCCCCTGAAAACCACTTGAAAGCCAGAATTGTTTGACTTGATGATGACTTCGTTTCAAGTCGCAAAACCTGTCCCGGATCTGGTCCCCAAACCTTCCCTTTCCTACCTTGCCTAGTCAGCAGAGCTGTTCGAGGATTCTGCACTCTTCGAGGTTCCGCCACCTCGTAGCGTAGCGAACGATACGGCCTTTACACGGACTCCGGAAACCAAAGACATGACCCCAACTTGCTGGCACTCGAGCGAGAAAACACAATGAAATCACCATGTTTTGTAGCTTGTCTGGCAACCTACATTTTGGCTGCAATGGCTAGTGTGTCTGTTGGTTTGTTGCTTGTGCCGTGCCTGACACGCCCGAGCCACCCATTGTTGAAGAAGTTCCAGCTCCTTTCTTTCCTGAGCTTGTCGTTGGCCCCAAATTCTGGTGGTCGAAATATGCACGTCGTGTGCCACTGAACTTCCGAAGTCTGATGGTGCAATTCCGCGTCTGAAAAACACAAGGAGTCAAGTTCTAGTTCTAGGTGTCAAGCTGAACCCTGAAACCGGGAATCCTCGCAACCTCCTGCGTGAAAAAAGATAAACACAACGAAGAATCTGTGTGAAGCCGAGACGTCGAGGTAGAAAACAAAAATTGCTGTTACTTCATGCACACACCTTCGACCCTCCAAAGCACAGTGTGACACTGTCTTGGATATTTTTACATCATCGACCCAAATGCAGCTTGTTTTGTTCATCTAAAGTGGCTTTTGGGCTGATTTAATCATGGTCCTGGAGATCTATGTACTGGCTATATATATATATACATTTGACTCCAAAACACGTCCAAGAATGTCCAAGACCCTCCAACGTCCTTCCATGTGTCCAAGACTTGAAGATCCCCCATCCGGCAATCTGGTCGAGTCAAGCTTCTCTTGCCAGTGATGCTCTTTGTGGTGCGCACGATCCTTAGCAACGTGAAGCTTCCGTGACCACTGTGACTTCTCGGCTGAAAACTGAAAGTGACCATAGAAACATATAGGGGCCCTGGGATGATACAGATGACTGGCCACTGATACTCAAACATTCAAGGTCAGAATTCCAGGAATCCCGCATACAATCAAAGTGACCCGGAATGGCCTCTAGAAGCTTCATTCAAAAACAAATCCGTCTTCAGCGACCGTGATTCAACAGGGACATCCACAATCCACGGCCCAAATGAAAGAAATGGTGGCCGTGGCAAGCTATCACATTCTTTTGACCTAATGTATCCATCTTTCAACAAAGTTTGTTCCGTTCAATTGTCCTTTCAAACTCTTGATCTTTATAACTGAAATACATTCCACATCATTCCACTCAGACTCACTAAAGCCAACCAAAGTGCCACGTCTAAAGCCCGGCGACGTCTACGGCCCGGCGACGTCTACGGAACGTCTACCGGCGGCTTGCGATCCGTTCCGAAGCCCCTGAGATCAGCGCAGCTTTTCCAACCGGTCGAAGCGATCCTGGAGACCGGTTCCCGGCTTCGCGCGGCATGGGGCGGTCCCGCGGGCGCAGGGGCCATCCGAATGCGGATCAAAGCACCAACCAACGGCATCCGATCCCTTCGGGTGCCCCGATGTTGCACACTGTGGGCACTGTGTGGATATTGAGATATGGTATTCAGATATGGTCAAAAAGAGAACAGTTCTTTTGTTTTGTAAAAATATCACCAGGTAACAAGCTTCCTCATGCTGCTCAGTGCAGCGTGGCGAGCATGGCGAGCGTGCTGCATGAGCCGCTCTACTTTTCGATCCGACCCTTCGAGAAGCTCTGCCGCGCTTCGGCTGCAGCGAAGCTGTGTCCTCATCGCCGTCTTCTTCCTCTTCTGGCCACGGCATGTTCGGTGAAGTGGAACCACCAAACCTCTTGATGGTGTCCACCTCAGTCAACTGAATTAAAAACACAAGCCACGACCCAACGACCTTCTATGCAAGCGGATCGATGTCGACCTTCTTTACCTTTGAAAGGATTGGAATCTACGACGTACTTGTGGCATGATGATTCTGGTCTGCACTGACTACATCTAACCTAATCGCATACCAAGGTCGTGCTATCCATTCCAAAGCAAGACCCACCAGCTCTGTGTTGGGTACTGCATATTTGCTTCTGGGAAAAAGTGCGGCACACTATGCAAACCTCAAAACATGTCGACAAGCAACGCAGCGAACGAGTCCCCATGTCCTCCGCTCGGGACCTGCCAACCCTCTGAGGCGTCAGCAACCGTTGGGTTCGCCTAGTGCACCGCGAAGTTCGCTGCCACAAATCAAGGATAGCAGAGTAGAGTCAGAGTAGATACAACACTACTCAAACGTCTAGATAGATAGATAGATAGATAGATAGATCGATAGATAGATCGATAGATAGATAGATAGAGATAGATAGAGATAGATAGAGATAGATAGAGAGAGATAGATAGATAGATAGATAGATAGATAGATAGATAGATAGATAGA